TGAACACAGATCATTAAAAAAATCACAACTTATTCACAACTCAGTTTGGAATGACACTTGTGCTGCCAAATCCACTTTATTCAACCAGTTTRTGTTTACTGTAAGATCATATTGTATCTTATGAACATATAGTCTTTTCTTTTTATATTGTTTTTCTTGAAGTAAAGTGCTTATAAATTAAACACACAGGTCTGTCTGGCTCCATGTCTTTCTGTAAGTTCACTGGTTTTTTTAATATTTTGCACAAATTTGCTACAAAAATGCACCACAAATCGAACAATGATTCACTTCCTCATAAACCTTTGAATCAGGTATCCAATGCAGTGATGTAACTGCAGCACTTTCACAACACAGTGTTTATTCTCAAACACTGTTGTTTTTTCTTATACATACACCAAAGCTTCAGCCTCAAACTGCCCATCACTGCTGTTCAGTTAACCTGTTCCTGTTGGTTTGGGTTTTCTTTAACCTGCTCTTGTTGGGTTGAGTTTCCTTTAGCCTTTTCATCAAGTCCAATTTCTAGTCATTGACAGACCATGATCCCAGTACATTAGATATAGTTACAACTGACTGCAGCGATCTTTAGAGGTCTGAAGAATATTTTCCACAGGTGTTGAGCTAGCTTGAAGTCATACTTTTAGACCAACTTCTACCTTATGTCTCAGTGAAAGCTGCATCTTCCACTTGTGTTGTCACTTGAATTTACTGCCCAAGCAGTGATAGACGATGGGAAAACTTTAGCCTTACTCTCGGGTGTGTTCTGCCTGCTGTTTGTTTAGATGTTAGAGTTTTATGACTGATGTGGGCGCAAAGTTTAATAATGGATCAAAGAAAAACTGTGTCCACAGTTTTCTCCTCCCAACCTCTCAGCTCATTAGCTAACAATCCTAAATAATTTGTTTTACTTAACTGTTACATAAATTTTGGTCAGCACAGTAGGCAAGTTTAGCCATTCTTTTGTTTGCTTTTATGCCATTTAACTTAATCTGATTTCAATTTACTTTATTCTGTAATTTTTGAAAACTGTGACATGGTGTAAAATTCTGTACCAACAAAATGGTTTAACCATCCGCACAGCACTCTATTAGGTCTCACTACAAAGCTAATATGTACAAACCACTTTATGGAGACTAATCAGTGCTTTAAATCACACTCATACACAGATGGGACACACATCAGAGGCAGTGGGGGTTCAGTGTCCTGCCTTTGAAGTTCACTTTGACGTGACAGAACAGCAGGGAATCAAACCGCCAACTCTTGCATTAGAGGAACGACTCCCCTGACCACTCTGCCACAATCTAGATAAATAAAAAGAAAAACCTCAGATATCACATGGCCTCCTCTCGCACTRACTGTTAAATAGGTTTAGGGTTTAGTTCTATATCCCCTTAGTCCTTTGTAGACCCTGAACAATCTGACTACAGAGCATTTTAGTAAATTTTGAACTGACTCGACCTTATGATCAAGACCTGCTGGTTTTACATCAGTATCAGGTTTCTGAGTATTTCTAAATCTGATGTTTCACATTCAAGATGCTGTGTTGTTGTTTCAGATGGCTTTGTTGTCTTTCTGAGTGATCTACATCCATTCAGCTGAAGCATGGGCTCATGTTTAGTTTCTKTTAGCGGTTTGAGTCCAGTTAAGAGCATATTTAATTTGTACATAAACATCTGAATGAAATGAAATGTTTGCATTAGAAAGTTATCACTGGTGTGGATCTATATCTACAACAGATTACCTTCTGAAGTCAACCCAATTCAAATGGTCTTCACATCTAATTGAACTTCAAAATGAAAGGCGTTTTTTAATTTGGTGTGGTAGTAATTGAGTCATTCCTTTTACTGTGAGCTCTAACAGAAAGTGAGGTCTTCCTGTGTCTCCTGATATGTCAGTATTTTAAGGATTCAAGCAAAAGGGGATTTGAAAGAAAAAAAGATTATCTTAGATTTAGATGCATTCTGATTGCAGTTTTCTGGCCAATTACCAATCTTTAACAAGCCTGACCCAATGATTCTGACTGTGTCTGATACTTTTTTTTTTCAGACCTGACACTGTCCGGTGTTATAACATCACAACACACCTTCAACATAACATTTTTATTTTATCGAAAAACATTGAACAATACCCTTGAAATAACATAAACTTGGTTTAACTAGACAACAGCCCTCTCTCACAGCAGAGCAAAAGGACATAGTGGCTATTTTCAGACCTTAGTAGAGGTAGAAAAGATCGGTGGATAAAATTATCTTCTTATGTAGCTATCAGCTGATCGCCTTCCTCCTAAACTTAAGGAAATCGGGGCAGAATAATCGTCTGGCACCCCTACTTAGTGTAAAGTATGACTTGATGGGTGATATATTGTACATTCCTTAATGTACTGCTTGGATTTATTTTTATATTTCCGACATCCGTCCATCATCTTCTGCTTGTTCTGAAGTTAGGTCTCAAGGGCAGCAGCTTAAAGGCACAGTGTGTAGGATTTTATCAATTCTTTTAGCTGAAATTTAGATAATCACTAATGACAATAATAAAAAACATGTCTAATCATTGCAGACAAAGACCTTGTTTTATTATTTTTACCTTATAAAAAGCTGTTTATATCTCCACGGTCGCGGGTCGCCACTACAGGCAGCCGCCATCTTGTCTACGAAGGCTCATGAAGGACAAACTGCGGTGGCGGCGTCAAAAACAGTTTTAGTTGTAATACTATAAATGTAATATTTGTTGTCTGTCATTGTAGCTGGGATAATTTTACTTATTAAAGCTCATAATCTTACCACTTGAAACATCACTAGCCCTGAAGCTGCTGGTAGACATCGCGGTTGGAATTATCAAAGGTTTTTGACACCTGAGAGACACCGTAGCAACTCCTTTGCATTTGGAAGCGGGGGTGGGGGTGGGGGGAGGACCAGGGAGGATGATTCAACCACTCAACCACTAGATGTCGCTGAAAACAACAAATCCTACACACTGTGCCTTTAAGCAGGGAGGTCCAGACCTCTGTTTCCAAAGCCAGCTCTTCAGGGAGGATTCCAAAATGTTGCTCCATGTCCAGGCGCTACTCCTCCCAGTTGGACATGCCTGGAACATTTTCCTTGGAGGGTGTTCAGGAAGCATCCTTACCATATGCCTGCACCACCTCAACTGACTCTGGATGTGGAGGAGCAGCAAATCTGCTCTGAGCCTCTCCTACATAACTGAACTTCTCATCCTACAGTATTGAAAGTCCAGCTACACAGTGACCCTGCTGAGAAAACTCTTCCAGCTGCTTGTTCATTTGGTCACAAAGTTTGTGGAAACGTAGAGTTTCCCCCCTTCCTTCTCAGCTCCTTTTTCACCACAAAGAACCAACATAAAATATTTAAAAACTAAATTAAAGTGCATCTTACCCCCCCTRTGAAAAGATAACTCCAACCCAAGGCGAAATTTGAAAAATGCATCAAAGTGGGTAGGGGAGGGGGTTTAGAGAGCGGAGGTGTGGCCAGGACGAGAGAACGTGACAGCTAGCAT